GTGTAAGTTAGTACTTTATATAGAAAGCATAGTTTATATACATATATATCCTATTAGTTCTGTCCCTCTAAGAAAACCCTGACTAATACAGCCCCCCCATAAAAACTCTGGACACTGAAGCTCAGGTGTGCTTTCCTCATTGGCGATTCTCTATGTGTATCGTGGACGTTAATACCAGGAAGACAATGCATCTGACTCCCAGGGGAGAGGATATGTAAACTTCATGTTTGGAATCCCTCAGATCCTGTGCTATGCATTTCCTTCTTTAGCCAGTCTCTATCTCTTCCTGTAATAAATCAGAACTGTGAATATAACAGTTTTTTGTGAATTTCGTGAGTCTTTTTAGCAAATTACCAAAACTGAGGGAGATTTTGGCAAACCATTGATCTTGTGGTTGGTATCACAGTGAGGACAGTCTTATGGTTGATGTTATGCCCTCAACCTTTTCAGTCTGGCTAACTGGGCAGTGTGCTTGTGTGTGTGTGTGTGTGTGTGTGTGTGCATGTGTAGAGTACAACAGTAGCATAGGGTTTGTTTGTTTGTTTGTTTTTTTGACAGAGTCTCACTCAGTCACCCAGGCTACCTCCTGGGTTCAAGCAAGTCTCCTGCCTTAGCCTCCCATGTAGATGGGACTACAGGTACATGACACCATGCCCGGCTAATTTTTGTGTTTTTAGTAGAGACGAGGTTTCACCATGTTGGCCAGGCTGGTCTCGAACTCCTGACCTCAGGTGATCCGCCCATTTTGGCCTCCCAAAGTGCTAGGATTACAGGCATGAGCCACCGCACCTAGCCCGCATAGGGTATTTATAATTAGAACAGCCTGAGAGAAGCTATAACATATTAGCAAGGTTTAGATATTTCTCTTACATTTTTATTTCCAACCTGCTTACTGTGAGACGTTTTCCACTGGTCTCGTAGTCTAAACCCACACCCTGACTTTGTGGTGCATGTCGTTTTTATCCTAGTGTACTCCATACTCACCCAAAGCTCCTGTGTTTATTTTGACTCCAACTCTGGAAACAGAAAGTGAACTCATAGAACTGTTTTTTTTTTTTTTTTTTTTCTTGGCAAGATTTAGGACGTCATAAATCATGGTGGCAAGAAATGTAATGATGGTCTCTTTCGGTTCTTGAGGAGATTGGAAGAGGAGAAGCATGCAGGTTCCAATGTGGTTTTATAATTTTTCCCAGTGGTGGCACAGTGAGGAAGATTCCAGCAGACTAGTTCCTCAGTCCTAACTAGGTAGTAATTCTCTACTTGAATGTTCTTGCAATGAAAATGCACAGACATTCACCAGTGTCACCCGGGCAGGGCAGTTTAGTGCCTGCTGCGGAACTCCTGGCAGTTAACAATGAAATTGTCAAGATTTCCTTTTTGTTCCCTTCCAAGCAGGCAAGGCATCGTTTTTGTCCAGTGGTTTAGCACATGAATCAATCCTTTTATGTGTGTTCAGTGGGACCATGTGTGTTTTCAGAAACTGTCTGGCTTTATACCTGGCAGGATTTCTTGTTGGGCAGTAGTTCTGCAAATGAGAAAGAAAATATGCAGATTCTCACATGTCCCCAGATTGAATTACAAGGCAAAAGAGACTATTGTTTTCTGGCCTGGTATTTGGCTTTGAGATATATATATATATATATATATATATATATATATATATATATTTATTTTTTTCTTTTTGAGTTGGAGTCTCACTCTGTTGCCCACGCTGGAGTGCAATGGCATGATGTCGGCTCACTGCAACCTTTGCCTCCCAGGTAAAAGTGATTCTCCTGCCTCAGCCTCTCAAGTAGCTGGGACCACAGGTGCCCACTACCACACCCAGCTAATTTTTGGAATTTTGGTAGAGACAGGGTTTCACCATGTTGGCCAGGCTGGTCTCAAACTCCTGACCTCAGGTGATCCAGCCACCTCAGCCTCCCAAAGTGCTGGGATTAAAGGCATGAATCACCGCACCTGGCCAGACCATTTTGATTCTTAGAGATACGCCATCCAGTACTAAACCTGGGTTCTTAAAAAATAAATTATATAAAACATTGATATTTTCCAGATTATAACTGACAGAGGGAGGAGGAGACACACATAGCAAATGTGGACAGGTAGGAGTAAAAGGAATATCTAGTAATGCTTTTATTCCTGCACAGCTTATGTACTTATTGCTATATTTCTTATTTCTCAACAATGTTTATTTAAGAAGAGCTAATATGTAAATTCGTACAACCAGTGTGGAGTACAGTGTAGAGGTTCCTCAGAAAACTAAGAATAGAGCCACCATCCAGCCATCCCACTGCTGGGTATGTACCCCAAAGAAAGGAAATCAGTGTACATCCATGTTTGTTACAGCACTATTCACAATAGCCAAGATTTGGAAGCAACCTATGTGTTCAACAATCAATGAATGGATAAAGAAAATGTAATACATATACACAATGGAGTACTATTCGGCCATAAAAGGAGTGAGATACTGTTATTTGCAACAACACGGATGGAACTGGAGGACATTATGTTAAGTGAAATAAGCCAGGCACTGAAAGACAAACTTCACATGTTCTCACTTATTTGTGGGAGCTAAAATTTAAAACTATTGAACTCATGGAGATAGAGAGTAGAATGATAGTTACCAGAGACTGGGAAGGGTAGTGGAGGGTTTGTAGGAGGGGGCAAAGTGGGAATGGTTAATGGGTATAAAAAATAGAAAGAAAGAATAAAACCTAGTTGTTGATAGCACAACAGGGTGACTACAGTCAATAATAATATAATTGTACATTTAAAAATAATTAAAAGTATAATTGGATTGTTTGTAACATGAAGGATAATGCTTAAGGGGATGGATACATGAGACACTTTGATATAGACATGCAATGTGTAATAACAACATCACGGTAAATCACATCAGTTACCGTGTGGTCGTGGTTGGTGTCACAGTGAGGACAGTCTTATGGTTGACATTGTGTCCTGTGCCATTTGCCATGATGTGGTTATTATACATTGCATGGCTATCTCAAAATATCTCAGGTACCCCATAAATATATACACCTACTATGCACTCACAAAAATTGAAAATTAAAAAAAAATTTAAAGGAGTCAATCCAGCTTGGCTTAATTCCTGCCTCAAGGCTATTTATAAAAAACTCTCTAAGCAAAGCAGATCTTACACCTCCATGCACAAATGTTGAGGGGGTTATATGTCAAACTGTTGGGGGTCTTTTGTCTACAGAATATCCATAGAAAAAAATTCCAAGAATGTTTGGAGACCAACACATGTGTAGTGGAATATAGATATAGTGCTTTTAAGAGATCTGAAAGACAAAATGGACACCAATGAAAAAATTAAAGGTTAGGTATTGCCCTGCTGAATATTTAACTAGAGGGGTCATTTTGGTTGAAAGCAATCTCTGAAACAATTAAAATATGATTTAGTATATGAATGCTTATTCTCACCCAGCTTATTTAGAAATATATCCATCTTATAAGGCAACTGGCCTTTTCATTTAATTTCTCTACTGAAAAATGGATATTTCGTGTTTTAGGAAGCATATTCCATAGGTTGGGTTTATTTATTCTGGTTTTAAAAAAGAAAATGCGCAATGCAAGGACTCACAAGACCTCAGAGTTTTGCGAAGCTTGAAATGCTAAGAAAATGTAATCTAAATTCCCTGAATAAAGTGATGGAAACCAGTGTGAAACTATGTGGAGAAGAGTTGCATACGTTAAATCTACATTTTGAAGTCTTAACATGGAGTCTGTCGATGGGCTTCTGGGCATCCACAAATAAAATTACACCAAATATTTATGTGTGTATACACTTAGTGGAGAGATGCTCCATTGCTTTGGCTCTTAAAGGGCTTAAGCACCATTTTGAGTTTAGGTGTGGGGCAAAGGGGATGTGCTGTAGATGGAAAGTTTTGTCCCCCGCGACCCCCCAACAAATTCAGATTGACATCTTAGCTCCCAGTATCCCAAAGGTGGGGCCTTTGGGTGGTGATTAAGTCATGTGGATGGAGCCCTCATAAATGGGATAAGTGCTCTTATAAGAAGGGATATGAGATAGCTCCCCGGCTCCTTCTGCCTTATGAGGACACAGCAAGAAGACACTCATCTATGAACAGGATACAGTCCCACACAAGACACCAAATCTGTTGCCACCTTGATCTTGGATTTCCCAGCCTTCAGAACTGTGAGAAATACATTTTTTCTCTTTATAAGTCACCCAGTATATGGTGTGCTGTTATGGCCACCCTATCAGACTAAGAAAGGATGCCAGAGCATTTCTGTACTCCTTCAGTCTAGGAGATAGTCATGGCTAAAGCTGCATGCTGACCCTTGACTCTTTCCATTTTGGAGGCTCTCTCTCTTCAGAATTGTAAGACAAGTCTCAGTTTGACCATTGGGACAGCAGGTAACCTCTGAGGCTTCCTCAGGCATGCTACTGTTATCTCTTCCAATTTTCTAGTGGACTTTCTGGAATATCTGGAGGCTGTACTTAGAAACGGAAAAGTGTCTTTATTGAGTACCTTTCTAGGTACCAGAGGGGACCTTGTGCGTGTGTCCTTGTGCCTGAAAAGTGGTAGGTACTGAAAAACTGTTCATTGAGTAAAGGAACGAATAAAGCAAATTTGAAATGAATGAATAGCCGAATAATTAGAATAATATTTAACAATTTATTGAATTAAGTCCCTGCTTGATTCAAGCAGAAAACTGAAAAAGGGGATTTTTAAAATAGACAAATAAAAATTGGATGTATTTAAGGTGTACAACATGATGCTTTGGTATACGTACGGCATTGTAGAATGGCTAAATCAAGCTAATTAGCATGCATTACCTTACATACTTATCTCTTTGTTTGGAAAAGGGGGATAGAGAACAGGTTTTGTCTTCTCCCACTGTGATCTCCTGCAAAGACGGAGAAAGAGATGCAGACTGTTCATGAGTGATTTTGTCTATGTTCTCATAAGGCCTTCCCAGAAATGATGATTTTTTTTTTTTTTAAATTTCAGCTATCCAACTTGATAAAGTCAATCTTCAAGTATATTGTGCGTGGTCTCTTCTGGATAACTTTGAGTGGAACCAGGGGTACAGCAGCCGGTTTGGTCTCTTCCATGTTGATTTCGAAGACCCAGCTAGACCCCGAGTCCCTTACACATCGGCCAAGGAATACGCCAAGATCATCCGAAACAATGGCCTTGAAGCACATCTGTAGGCAAGATGGCTGAGAAATACAGGAGAGGCCTCTGCTTTTGAAAAGGAGATCTGCTTTGGTGATGATCTTTCAGGCAATCTCAACTTACTTCTGTAATCAACATCTAATATCAGTGGATCTGTGATGATAAAGTCTGAATATGTAATGCCTCATGAAGTGTTTAATAATGGCCTTTACTTTATTTGCATTCGGATCAATTAGGTTTTTAAAAAAAGTAGAAGAGAAAACCACTAACCTTGATTTTTATATTGCAAAATCAGATAGACCTGGAAACGTAAATTTAAATCCTTAGACATTTTTCTAGAAAAAAAATGCAAAGTTTATAAAGATAATATACCCATGATTTGCAACTGTAACAGGTGATCATTTATTATAAGAGTACTTAATCATTCCGGTTCCATAAGCTATTTTTGCTTAGGAGATCCACTGTCATGTGATCCATAATTTTTCTACATAAAAAATCAAAGTTAAAAGTTAGTCACATTATACAGTTATGCATTCATTTCAACAAAATAGTGAATTGATAATCTATTTGTTAATATATTCGGCACATATTTTGTGTGTTTGGACAAGTACATCTCCCTTTTGCCTAATGAACTTTTGAAAAGTAATAAAATAATAGAATAAATTAGACTTTCAATGGCAGAAAAAGTATTTGAGTGTTGATGTTCAGTAAAAAACAGATTCCTACTGCAGAGTGGTGCCAAATTAAAAGCCAAGTGATAAGCAGGGCATAATTTCCACTTTTGAATATTTCTTTAAAGTTTAGAACCTTAAGAACCTCGTGAAAAATAACATGAAGTGAATGACCGACCTCAGTGTAGGCAAAGGTGGGGTGGGGATTTATTACCCTGGTAATTGAAATGTCTGAGGTTGGTATGGGATTGACTGGAGATGGACATTTTGCTGAACTTCCTAAGGTAGGGGTCAGGAGTAGAGTCAGGGCTCCTTCTGGACTCCATGTCTCCCCTCCAGCAAACCCTTCACATATGTGGAGCTTGACCTTTCACATCCATATTTCAGTAGAGTTCACTAAGCACCTAGTTACCTATTAGACTTGAAGCTAAGAGGTGTAACTATGATCATCCCCATTTTGCAGACTGAGAAACTGAGGCCATACTGTTGTGCATCTTTCTCAAGGCATTTGGGTTCTGATTAACTGGACTTGACACTTCCTTGGCATCAGCCCTATTCTCACATTGCGGCAAACTGTAGTTTGAGGTACCATGGAAGTCTTCCCTGCATTTTCTGAAGACAGGAACAAAGAAATAGAGGTGTGGAGTTGCCTTATGCAGGAGGAAGGGAAAATGGTTTTTTGCATTCAACCCCTGCTTCCCTGAGGAAACGGCACATGCTTTTGGCATTCTCATAAGGCTTTTGGCCCTGAGCAGATGCTCTGTCATTTTTTTTTCTTTTATAAACTGTGGTCAATTTCTGGATCGTTCTCATGTTCATAATCAGGGAATTATTTACAGCAAAGAAACACACTCTCAGTAACTTTGGACAGAGTGAGAAAGAAATGGTTGTAGTAGTTCAATAAACATGGATGCACTGGGGAAAATTATATTAAGATTAAAATGGTATACAGAGGAAATTCTATTACATCTTTGCCACTGGTTTGTTATTTTTATTGTTCAACAAGACATTATCTCACAATTTGTGTTCATTTAAGAAGCACATTTCCAAATCTTATTTCATTCCTCTCCTATCCAGCCTGTCTTTTTCATTTTTACCATGTATCTTATTTACAATTTATGTGCCCTTTTATTTTATCTTGCAAGACAACTGAGTTTTCCTTTTAATTAGGATGTTGCTTTGAATATTACTTATCCTACAGGGCATATTTACAAGTTTTACAACAATACAAATGAGCACTGTAGTTTTGTTACCAAAACCAAAAAATTAATATTCACACTATAAATAAGACGATCTGTCATGTTTGGTCTACCAGGTGAAATAAAGATTCTAGCTGCTGGTGCCCAAGCTAACTCACAGTGCTGTGGCCTTCTGTAGTTCTTTGCTGGGTTTTAAAGGCCAGCTCTTTATCCTAGAGGTGGATCATACAAAGGGTGCTTCCTTAATTGGTCCTGTAAATTAGTATAGCCACAAGGTTAAGATGAAGGAAAAAAAAAATAACTCACCATCTAAAAACCTAACAGCCCCTGCAGTATTTCAATTAATGTTATTTTTAATTACTTGTATTAGCATTTGAGAACAAGATTGATTGGCTTTTGCCTGTTAAGGAAACAGAATGAAAATTCTTTAAATAGAAAAACGAGAGTTGTTAATTATACTTAAATCCATAGATACTGTACTTAGATGTCTTGAAGGTCATCTGAGACTTGTAAAGCACATGTTTTATGTCTGTTTTATCTAAGGAGAAACCTAGATATCACAATGATGAATTGGATCTATTTGTATTTCCTTCTCTATTATTTCCCTCTTTTCTTTTTTAGAAGAGCATGAACACATGTTATTTACATTCTAGGAATCACTTTTAAGAAATTTTTTTGACAGTTTTTATTTTAGGGCAAGTCATTTCTGAATTTCTAAAAACATATGTAAAATAATAGTAGCCCAGTTTCATTTTAGATGTGTAGGGTTTTAGCTTTGTAACTCCTGGTTATATCAGGAATTATACTAGGAACACCAGGAGGAATTGTCCACCTAAGCCCTTTATCGAATGAGAAGGTAGAAGTTCTCATTAAGAAACCCATAAACTCAGAAGCTGGCAACCTTGGTATTTGGCAGTGGGACGCCAGTCAGGTTTTCGTGTTCTAGGAATTTGTGTTTGGCCTGTAGCTTTTAATTATTTTTATGAACTAGGGAATAATGAATACATTTGTAATATATTGAAAAAAACCTCCAACACTCGCTGACCGAAAAGTAGATTTATATGATAATTCTTAAACACCAATTCTATTACTCAATGCTAAGCAGAATGAAAATGGAATACTGAGCCTTATTACTGAGAGAGCAGAGTATAATCAAAGCTGGTAGAATTAATACTGTTTAATTATTAGCAATACGCCTCACCCAGAGAACACATATTCATCACTAATCAGAATATTTTAGGCTCTTGTCCTAGGAGGGACATGGTAGAGAGTACAAAGCATGCTGAGCCCTAAAGAAAGAAATTAGGAAAAGTGTGACATAGAGACATTTGACGATGGTCTTTCATAATATGGGTGATGGTGATGTGAAGGGAGAATAAACCTTATTAACTGTGGCAGTAGGTAAGATGGGGAGGTGGGGGTTGAAGTGCCAAGGTAGGGCCGGCCACAGGAAAGAACAACCCCCAACTGTGTGAGTTGCTGAGTGTGTCTTGAAGAGAGACAAGGCCTGTGATCCCAGGCTTTCCCAGTGTCTGAATGTGATACCTGAGCAACGACCGACCTAGATGACCTTGCCGGAGTGGTTGTTTGTATCTGGTATCAGGCAAATGTAATGTCATCATTAAGAGTGCGGGCTCCTGAGTCAACTCACCTGGATTCAAATCCGGGCTATGATGTTTATAATTCAAGTGACATTAAGTAACTTACTCAAGTTTCCCATGCTTCAGTTTCCCTATCTGTAAAATGGAGATAAACTTCCTTATAAGACTGTTATAAGAGTTAGTGAAGCTGATAGATATAACATGTTTATATTCTGAAGCATGGTAAAGGCACAGTGAGTGTCGAGCTATTATTTTAAACTCTCAAACTTGTCCACACTGAGCCCCCAGCAATTCATCAATTATAGTTTGGCTTTTCCTGTTCTGGGACTATCTTCCCACAGAAGTATCTGTTCATGAGTTTCTGTCCTGTTAAGGTGGGATTCATGTTTTGCCTGTCTGTGTCTCTAATTTTGGTGTCAGTGGTTTTTCCTATGACCTTAATTCTCTGATGACTCTAAAAAGAGATGTTAATTTTCTGTTTGGCTTTTTTGCTTGTGTTAGGATGGGAGTGACAAGTTCTGAGCTCCTTAAATGATGAGAGTGACAACTTCCAAGCTCCTTAAGTGCTGGACTGGACACCCGGAGATGACACTACATATATCATTAGAGTTGACGGTGTCCAGCTGCTTAATCAGTACATATTGATTAAACTAAACTGTGCAATACTTTATAGAGATGCAATATTGCAGACAAGACAGTTCTCCAAAGAAGTTCATGAACTGGTTGGGGAACTAGGATAGAGACTAAAATGACAGCAAACAATGCTGGGTGAATTTTCAGAGAATCAGAGTTGTACAGCTATGTTTCACATAACAACGTTCAGGTCAATGACAAACCACATACACGATGATGGTGCCAAAAAATTATAATAGAGCTGAAAAATCCCTATCACCTTGTGACATCGTAGCCCTCATGAAATCTTAGCACAATGCATTGTGCTAAGATGTTTTTGTGGTGATGCTGGTGTAAACAAACCTACTGTGGTACCAGTTGCATAAAAGTCTAGGATATATGAGTGTGTGTGATACATAGTATTTGATAACGATCATAACAGATTGATACTGTTTTATGCGTTTACTATACTTGTAACCATTCTTTTAAAGTGTTCTCATTCTACTAATGAAAAAAAGTTAACTGTAAAATAACCTCAGGTGGATTCTTCAGGAAGTCTTCCAGAAGAAGGCATTGTTATCATAGGAGAAGACAGCTCCATGCCTGTTATGGTCCCTGAAAACCTTCCAGTGGGACAAGGTGTGGAGGTGGAGGACTGACATTGATGATCCTGACCCCGTGTAGACCTAGGACAAGGAGTGTGTTTATATCATAGTTTTCAACAAAAAAATTGAAAAGTAAAATAAAATAAATAAAAATAGGAAAAAGCTTATAGAAAAAGGATATAAAAATATTTTTGCACATCTGTAAAATGTGTGTTTTAAGCTATGGTGTTACCAAGGAGTCAAAAATTAAGGAAATTAAAAGTTTATAAAGTAAAAAGGTTATTTTAAGCTAAGATTAATTTATCATTGAAGAAAGAAAATTTCTTTTTATAAATTTAGTATAACCAAAGTATACAGCGTTTGTAAAGTCTTCGTGTACAGTAATGTCCTATCACATTCACTCACTACTCACTCACTGGCTCACCCAGAGCAACTTCCAGTCTCACAAGCTCTATTGGTGGTAAGTGCCGTATCATTTTTAACCTTTTAAAAAACCTTTTATACTGTATTTTCCCCTTATCTTTTCAGTGCTTAGATATGTTTAGCTACACAAAACCTGGTCTTGTGCTACAATTGCCTGCAGTGTTCAGTACAGTCACATGCTATACAGGTTTGTAGTCTAGGAGCAATTGGCTCTCCCATATAGCCTAGGTATGTAGTAGGCTACACCACCTAGATCTGCGTAAGTGCACTCTACGATGTTTGCACAATGATGACATTGCCTAACAATGCATTTCTCCGACTATATCCCTGTCATTAAGGGATGCATGTCTGTGTATAAGCAGAGGAGCATGAGGTGGGTGGGGATGGCTTTCATGGATGAGGGAAAGTAATACAATTAAAAAGTAACCTGAGTGATAATACAAATAATATAAGTAAAAATATGGAAGTAGAAAGCTAAAGCCTGTGGGCTGTTGGGGGCAGTGCTCAGGCCAGTTCACCTCAGGGAAGAGAGCAGGCAGGCTGGGACTTGAAAGTGGAGAGTCTCTAATGTTCTCCAAAGACCCTTCCGTTTTCTCTCAGAGTAAGGGTGAAGGTTTCTGAGAAGGAGGGTGATGATTTACAGGTAACACTTTGAGGAATAGTAAAGGAAATGGGATATAGAAACCAGATTGAAAGCTTCTTATGGTAGAGTATAGTTGATGTGTTAAGAGCCCTATGTGGGGTGGGAAGTACATATACATGGAAAGTTAATTTATAATTGTAATTAGTGTATCTAAAGTACATGGGAACTGAAATGCAAGATGGGTTTTTGGATTAGATCCTGGAACAGAAGAAAGAACATTAGTGGAAAAACTGGGAAATCCAAATAAAGCCTGCAGTTTGATTAATACTGCTTTATCAGCGTTAACTCATTAGTTTTGATAAATATATGACAATTACCATTAGGAAATGCTTGGTGCAGAATATATAGAAGTCTGTGTACTCTCTTGAAACTCTTCTGTAAATACAAAATTATTTCAAAATGAAAAATTAAAAATGTATATGAAAGAGTTAATAATATATTTATGCAATACATTAGATATAGGGCACATATTGCAACCTCTCTCTCTCTCTCTCTATATATATACACACACACACATATATGTGTATATGTATATATACACACATATATGTGTGTATATATATACGCACACAAAAAAAAGAGAACAGATGGAAAGAAATAACCACTATGAATATCTAAATTTTTTTCCAGGTTGTGGTGTTATAGCTAATTTTTCTCTCTTCTTTATAATTTATTCCCATGTTTTTCATACTTAGCTTCTTTTCCTTTTATTATTGCAAAAATACATTTAAAGATAAAGACAAAATTCAGCAGTCAAGATAATTTATTGAATATTTGGACAATGGAAAAGGGTAGGTCAGCAATGGCTCCGAATACGAACAATGGTCCAATTGATAGACTTTGGCCAGTATATGCAATACTCCATCTAGGTGCACAGTAAGACAACAGATATTTTTTAAATGGTAATAATTTTTAAATGGATATGTAATAATTGTAATTTTTTAGTACATGTGATATTTTGATACCCATATACAATGTGCAATGACCAAATTCAGGCCACTGGGGTATCCTTTACCTCAAACATTAATCTTTTCTTTGTAACATATTTTTAAAGTAAAACTTGTTAAAGTTTTGAGATACTTAAAAATTAACTGCTTCCTCTAGTCTAGTCTATAATCACTAATTTATATCTCTGTCACCCATAATTTTTTTTTCACCAACATCTCCCCAACCCCTTTCTACTCCCACCCCTAGTCCCTGGTAACCACCATTTTACTCTCTACTTCTATGAGACCCACTTGTCTAGATTTAACATATAAGTGAGGTAAC